AGGTGCGGCGTCGGTTTACGAGCCGAACGATACGGACGCGTCTCCATTTTTAGCCGAGTAGTCCCCATGCGAAATGAATGAAATCGATCGGGCAAGGTTCCCCGGCGAATTTGTATGCGGAACGTCGATGGAAATTCGCGGGTGACTACGCATCGTTAAAACGAAATTTCATTTTGCCGGCGTGTCTTATTGGCGCGTTCATGGCCGAACGATATTTTTTGCCCGTCCCTCTCCCCAACCCCTTCCCCTCCTCCTTCTTCCCTTCATGAAAGTTTCATAAACCTATCCGCGAAACGATATGGATAGATTTTCTTATGAGATGCAATTTTCTTTTATAAATCGTGCGACCGAGAGCGGCGATTTTATTCCAATCTCGAATCTCTCTTCCACTGTATTTACAGACGAAAAATACATTTGCCGAATCTCGGTTCTTTAATTTCACTGAAATAGTTTGTTGACCGAAATTGCTAGAGTGTTTTCTTGGCGAACATTGGGAGTAAATTTAGCTTTCCGAAAAACGATCAATTCATTAATAAAAGCGACATTTGACGGTAACGCGGATCAGTAATTAGAGAAACAAGAAGTGAAAGGGAGTTTTTCTGAAACGGAGTAACACGGATATTAATACAGCAGAAGGACGTCGATGGCATGATGCACTTATGCGCGTGTAATACGCTACTTGTTGTCACTTTAAACAAACGGGGTCTCTGAAACGTCGACGAACGATCCCCCGTAAACGTGACCCCACAGGAAAAACACAATTTATAAATCAAGCCTGACTTTAATTTACATCGCCGTCAACGTAAAGCGATTCGATCGCGTGTTTACGTTTTTTCTCCGGCTCGCCGTCTCTCTCGAACGAACGACGCCGACGAGAAAACGTATCGCTTATCATTCAACTCTACCGTTCGACTCATTAAGCATTCTACCTCTTTTTACGATCTTTCTTTATCTTGGTAATTCATGGACATTTTATAGATTTTCTTTCGCGAGGATAATCGCATTCGCGGCCGCCGCGCGCGTCGAATCTGTACAAGGAGACATCGTCGAACACGCTTCGACGATCGCTGAAAATCTACCGCCCTCTCGCTTCCGCGTGCAGAGATTATTTACGCGTCGCATACCTGATTAACGATCGGTTCGTTATGCGTCTAGACGTAAACAGTCGATTAAACCCGGAGACTCCTAATAAGTTGAATCGCGCCGCGATGGATTTGCTTGTTAGCTGTGCAATGACGAAACCAGGCTTCGCTTTGTAATCAACCGGTATCTCCGATTAGAGAAGCATCGCCCGTGCCGTATCATCCTCGTTCGACGATTAGCTCGATTTACAGTCTCGAGTATGGTGTCCGATCGTTCGTCGATCGAGACTCGGTGATTCGGTAATGCGACGAGCATCATTAGCGACGTAATGAAACATTTCAACGGAATTTCACGCACACGGAATCATCGCCGGCGTCCGTGTTTATAAACAGTGGAATCAACAAACGGTGAAGCGAAGGCCGCGCTAAAAATACACGATCTACACGTTTCTATGTATCTAATTAGCGATCGGGTTGCCATATTTCGTCGAACAATCCCGAGGCTCGTCTGGGCATTCTCAACAGGGGAAATATCTCTAGTATCATCGATACTGTATTGTTTTATTCTCATCTTGAATATCGTTTCTTTTCTTTCGACGAAAGACACATCTGTTTAGTAAATTTTCTGCGAATTTATAACGTATAGATCCAATTGTTTGATAAACAATCGAGACTCGAACGGTTTCGTTTCTGTAACAGATTCTTAGAAAATTTCTCGTTATCGTATACACCTTTCGGTTACGCAAGCGAGACTCGCTATCTGTAAAAAATACCGTGCATAAGCGAGAATTTCGAAACGTATTGTATTATTTGATATTTCTACATATTAAAGTAGAAACAGAGCGATTTCATTGATTTTTAGGCGCTTCGCTCGGAGCCCGCCTCGAAAAAAGGAAAAGTCAACGTTCCTCGAGATTCACCTCGACGGATCGCTCGGATTTGTCGAAGGATACTTTCGTCTCATTGCTATTCTATCTTCCTGCTGGACGAGTGACCCACGTAGGACCTGTTTTTTAATAGTCTGCTCTTGTACCGGGGATCATTGGACCCAGCATTCAACTTGTTCGCTTCGTTTCGCGAAGCAGAACGCATCCACCGTATGAATGTCAACGATACTTATTACAACGATCGACTTTCCTTCTACCAGAGGCCTCGCTTCCTTCGCTTTTTCGACCGATTTTCATCTTCTTCCCTATTGCATCATCGAGATCGCGATTATCCGCGAGTGAAACGCTCTAACCGGTTAACTGTGTTTGACGAGTATACGCGTCATCTTAAAACTCTTAATGGTGCTAACCTTTCCAACGACGGATTGTTTATTTTTCGAGAGAAACGTGTAATTCTCCTTCGTTTCGCTTTCGTTAGGATATACTTTAAGTGCATTTGGCCTGCATTTAACGAGTATACGCTTCATTATTTATGAGAGATTTTTCAAACCAACATTCCACAGTTAACTGGTTAAACGATTCCCGCGAAAGCAGCCGTCCAAAGGAAAATACACCGAAAGCTAACTGTACTGAAGGGTTCATTCGGAAGGTCGAGAAAGAGCTCGATCAACGAATTTTCTTCACGACTGCGTACTCGGTCTCCCGATGCAGTCTCGGTTCACACTAAACCTGCCCATAACCGTACACGTGAGTATGGTATCAAATAATTCCTACGACGCGAAAGATACGCTTCGCGAAGCCTGCTGCAATGGGAGCTCGGCAGCCAGGTACGTGCCTGTAGATAGTCTAGGGATCATTGTTTTTAGTTTGCAAGAATAATCAGGATTATTTATGCCGAATATCGAAGGAAAACTCTGCTACTCCGCGCTGAAGCTGTTTCATCGTTCAACCACAGAGAGTGGTACAGAGTTTATTGGTCTTTTCGATTGTCTTCCGTTTCTTCGATATCCTAATCGAACAACGCTATCGCAGCGTGGAGATCAAGGTATTCGTGCTCTTACTACGTAACCAACGACGTCAATCAAGGGGAATGTAGTAATTGCAATAACCACCACGCAGGCCATGGATTACCACATTCTTCGAGATATTCTGCCTGTTATTCAGAGTTTCTCGTAGAGACCACGCTCTTCCGGATTCTTCGTTCGTTTCGGAAGATTCGTTTACCATGGAACCCGTATCGGTGATCGCGAAACAGCATCGTGCACAATGTTTCATCGACAATTTTCTAGCGATACATCCGAAGCCGTTAATCGACGTTAATCACGCGTCGAATCGAAACAAAGGTGTCTCAAAGTTTCAACCGAACGTGTTTAATCAATCAATTATTCAACTCCTATCCGTTTCTCATTCTATTTCTGTTCCTCCAATCTATTAATTAAACACCGATCATTCGACGACGCTGCTAATCGTGACTCGACGATACAAGCTCGCGCGAGTTAATTACTCGAATGCGAATCGCATAATTTATTTCCCGAAAGAATAAAGAAAAAAGAACCGTTCGTTAACTGGCAAGTTCGTGACGCGTTCGGGCCATAATGTTAATCTCCGTTGAAACGTTGTCGAAAAGTGGTTCATTTCAAATTCGCCGCCGTCCTGTTTGTTGTCGATAATCCGTTTCGCGCCAATTAAATCTCTCCCGATGGCCAGTGCGCTATACCGGCGGTCGATCATTATGGTTTTCCGTTCGATTTATTTATAGACGGACGCCATAGTACTATCGAAGCAAAGATATTCGTTCGAGCACCGTCGGAATGCAAACACCGCGATTATAATAATCAAGATGATTCGAACAAAGCGGCCGGTAGCTAATCGAGCCCATTTGAAATCGAACCGCGCGGCAGGCAACTCAATTTCGTGCGTTATTTGCGCTCCGCGGATGGGAAATTGCTTCCTGCAGGCAACGAATCGTTTCATTGTCGTACCGACCCGTCCTGCTCGACGAGAACAATCTCAACGAATTACAAAATCACGAATATCAATGCAATACAAATTTAATGAAATTTCGAATTAAGAGCAACATGGCGTCAGCGATTTTCTCCTCGTTCAAGTCCTAGACTGTCCTACTTCTATTTTATAAAAATTCCTTCAATCTTAACCTTAATCGAATCGATTCAATTATATTCTACCCAACCTAGGAGAATTCGTTATCAGATGCCCCAAACTGCAATGAACCCACAAGCGTGACGCAATACGAAAGGAAGCATCGTCGAGCATCCTGTCCAACGATAACCGAATAATAAACAACGTACGCATACGAATACACGCATTTTACTCCTATCGACAATGAAAATTGTTAAATCGAACGATCGCAAAGATAACAAGTGGATCGGTGACACTGATCCGCAAATGAGAAATCCGAAATGAGAAAAAGGGGTAGAAGGGTGGAAAAAGCGAGCAGTCTCGAATCGCGTCTAAGATCATACTATCCCTCCGAAAAACATGCTGTCAGCGACAGCATCCCACGCCACGGAGCCTGCACCGTGCATCGCCGATGTTTCTCGCGCTTCGATTAGCCAGCGAAAGTATTCCGCGGAATACTTTGGTTCGAGTAAAACGAGCGAACAGAGACGGTAAGAGAAACTCGGGCACGACTCGCGTACAGGCGATCGGGCAGCGTTTACGTACCTTGTTGAAGTGAGCTTGCAGAAGCCGCTCATATTGGTCGGCAGCACGGAGACAGAGCCGCGTGGTGAACGCTTCCATTCGTGCTGGTAGGGGCGCGTGGCAAACACTGCTTGACATTATTCCTCTGTTCGTGCTGGCACTCCTCCGTTGAACATGCACGCACGCACGCACGTAAGTATAGTGTGTACAAAATAAAATCGTCGTCGCACGCCACGCACCAACGGACGCACTTAAATACCGACCGGGGTACGTCGTTTAGGCGCGAGAGAGCCTAACCTCAATCGACCGTTCACTGGCTCATCGTACCGCCGACTATAGGCGTGGCCTGCGTGGCCTGCGTGGCCTGCGTCCCCGGCTTCCTCTATTAAATGTACCCCTCGACGAGGGCGACCAGAGTCTGCCTCCCTTCCACTGTTAACCCCTTGGAAAATTCGACTCTCGAATCGCGGCCGAACTCGCTTCGCGGAGACGGATCTCGGCGAGAACGCGAACAGTCCTGGCAGTCGGTACGTCTCACTGTCACCGGAACTCCTTTCTCGCGTTCGACCGATGCAACTTCCGGAAATATCGAATCACTCGCCGATACTGCGTCGACCGTTGACTCGTGCTCTCGTCAATGGGATCTCGCTGGAAGCGGCGATTTGAAAATCGAAGACACCTGCGCGCGCACTGTTGCCCACGGCGGCAGTTGGCCAACGGAGGATTGACACTTCGCGTTTCGCGGCTGACTCGAAGCTACTCAAAGTTTTGTCAACGACTCGACGAACTGGGTTCGTCGAGGACTGACTGAAATCGGCCGCGTGCCACTGCTGCGGATTCTGAACGTGCACTGAGCGCCGGAGAGAGCTACATGTAGCTTTATCGTACCGATGGTTCTCCCCACCAGCTCGTGTCGACGGCCGATTCTCGTTCTCGCGTGTATACACACGGATCTTGCGAGCCAACAGTCACGAGTCACGGGCTCGACTATTATTCGGCTCGCAGCTCCTTTTTACCAAATGCATCTCTAACTATCGTACACGTGCATAGCTGGTGAGTGAACAAACTTTCCTTCGAATATCCTTTTCAGCCGATTCTCTTCGTTTTCTCCTTTGTAAATCGAGTTGGAGTACATTTTCAACTAGTCGACCGTTTCACTGGGAATTCGCGCGGTTTTTATGCGGTTCAACTGCAAAAGAAGAGGCACGTTTATTAGAAACAGGGTTAGCTTTGCAACGAGCGCTTCTGTCCCAATGTATTTATTTCGCGTTATCCTTGGAAATAATCAGATATGCCCAGTCGAATTGAATAACGTTCGTTCGCGCATACTCGTACCATTGAGTACAGTTCTTCGTCGTTATCGTTGTGGTCATTTGCCTTTCCTACTCGTTCCTTTTGTTTCAAATTAAAAGTACCCTCAGCTCTGGGAAGGTTACTTTTTTTCAAACCTAACTATATTTATTATTATAAATATATAACATTCGTGAAGTTCATATTTTGTTCGTATTAGAGATTTATGATGAATCTGGAAAGTCGCAATGGCGTCGAATACAATTACATGGAAACGCTGAAATAGATACAAGTCTACTTTGAGGAAGTATTTAGGAGTTGATATTATTCTGATTAATTAAACTGTAGTAATCATCCAATTGAGAAACTATTCTTTTTCTCGTGACCATCTCGCTCTTAATCTCGCGGCTTATCTACACGGCGACGTGTATATTAAAACAGATACACGCTGAAACTTACGTCAATTCGGTTTAAATTAGACACACGCGTTGATACCGTTATCGTCGCGTATTTAGATTGCAACCGAAGTCACTCGATTCCGTTCTTATTATTAACCTTTCGAACAATCAAAATTTTCCCCCGAGCGCCGGCACCCCCGACGTTTCGACAATCCCGAGATAAATAACGGCAAATTTATTTTCAAAGAAGGATGATTTCATTTCGGAAGAACGCGTTTCGCGAAACATGTCGTCCGAACGCAGAACGAATCAAATTAAATTCCATCTGCTGGACGGCAGAGACGACTGCTACTACTTTTTCACTCTCATCGGTTGTTTAAACAGTAACCATAACTATTGCCGTTTCCTGTTATTCCACGACTAGAATGATTATTTTATGGATGCCGCCGGACCGTTCCGAACGGAGGAATTCTAAATCGACTCGAAACCGATACGTCCTCCCCGGTCCATCGAGGAGAAACCGAAAATGGCCGCCGTCCGGGGAACAAAAGTTTCCATAAACGCTAATTATAGCCATTTCGTAGAGATACCGAACGGAGAAAAGGAAACGGTACTTGGACCTTTCCTGTGCATGCCATCATTCTCGTTGCATAAGAAAATCCGAATTAAAAGGCTTTTCTCTCGGCCGACGAGGATCCGAGGTTGTCCTGGCCGTACGAATGAATCATTCGACGTCGACCGATGACTACCTCGTAATAAATCGATGCACCTATTAAAAAATTTCGATGACGGTTCCGTAGACGACTCGTCGGATGAAATAACTCGCTAATAATAGCGGGCATTGTCCATATTTCATCGTCAGTCCGAAAATATCGAAAATATCGAAAATATCGAAAATATCGAAAATATCGAAAATATCGAAAACCGAACAAAATCTCTCGTCCCAATGTTTACGATAGAAATAACTGCCGTCGATTAACGATATCTCGACCGTTCGTTTTGTTCCCTTTAATTGCAAGGTTAATTAATTTATTCCCGACACAATCACGGGATTCCCATTCGGTCAGCGACGAACGCGACCGTCGAAATTACAGATACGATCCAGGAACCGCGTGCACGCGCCGCGGATAAAGATTTCATTCATGTTTTATTTCGCTAGGGTTTTATATAGCGCGTGTAATCTGCCGGCCGGTGCGCGCGTAGCCTCTTCCCCGATAACTCTATTTCCCGGCGTGCTCTCGCCGCGGGGACGCGCTGCTGACGCAAAAAGGCCTTATCGCGCCCCGGTGAAAGTCGACGGACCGCGACAGTTACTTTTACGACCCGCCGCGAGATTTAGGAAACTAGAATCGTCTCGGGACCGGAGAAACTCGTGGTTTTCATCGGGCACGGACAATGTCTTGACCCATTTAACCGGTTAACCGTGGAACTTGGTTGGGAAAACCTCCGGTTCTGAAATAAAATCGAAAAATGGAGCGTGTACTCGTCGAACGCAGGACGAATGCGCGCAGAGTATATTCTAATGAAAGATCAAAGCGAAACAAAGAAGAATTACACGTTTATGTGAACGAATAAAGAATTCATCGCTGAAAGAATTAGTATCGTGTAAAGCTTTACGATGACGCGTATACTCGTCGAACACAGTTAACTGGTTAAACGACCCCTCATCGCGCGACGGGATTAACGGCCGGGTATCTTACAATTCGTTCGAATCTTCGCGGAAATCGCAAGAATGAAAAATCAAGGTAGACAGCTCAATGACAAATCGTAATGTCCCCGGCAATTCAAATGTACATTTATCGAATCAAAGGTAAATCGTAATATTCATTACCGGACAGGTTCTTACGAGATTACTTACTTTTCTAATCGTACGCAGACTCGCACTTTGCGTTTGACACCGACGAGACTTAATGTATTCGGTTCACACCTGCGATCGAAGTTGTAAAAAATGTTTTGCTTTACGAAAGTCGTATGTCTGGTAACGCCGTGGAACTTCGTACAAGCGAACATTCCAGCTGAATAATTAATTGTCCACAAGGAAACGATCCATCCTGATCTTTAATATGAATATCTTGAAGCGCATTAACGGATTCATATGTTACTCCAACTTATGCAATCCCGTTGAAAGATAACTCCGAGATATTTAGATAGTCGATGCATTTGAATAACCGTGTTTGCCCGATGCAAGGTGGTGTCCACCGTTATCTCGTTGGATCGCGAGCCTATAAATTCATCATAAGCGACTAAGGTGTGCGCTCGCTTTATCCGTTCAAAGTCTAGAAGAAAGGACTGTACTCGTATTTTGCGACACGCCGGAGAACCAAGGCAACGAGGAGACCAGTAAAGCATTTCGGAGACAACCTCGGACCACCATTCGAAAATCGCGTGGAAAAAACGCATTACAATGTGTTATTCGACATGTTAATTCACTGGTTATAAATAGTAGCAAAAACAGTGCGATAAAAAAATGTTGACGTCACGTCGAGTAGTTGCACGTATCACTTACGATACA